ACCAGCCAGTGGAGGGCCTGAGATTAGACTTGTGGTCTTCTGGGTTTTTCATCTGTTGTTCATCTCTTAAGGAGGCCAGCTCCCCTTTTGCTGGAAACAGTTCAGCTTAATGGAATTTGCTCTACCCAGTGCCCACAGTGTGTTAGATGATATCCATCACCACCTATTCTACTGTAAAGCAGCCCTTTAATGCCCCTTTAAAATGGATCTACTTTTTCCTGCCCATAGTTTGGAATAACTCCACCTGGAGGAAGTGATGGTTACTTAAAAGGTATGCCGAAAAGGGTCAGGGAGGGCTACTCAGTTAGCACCTCTTCAGCATCTTAGCTGCCAAGACATTTTCTTGAGCCAAAGAACCCACAAGCAAATAGCCCTCTTCTCATTTGGTCTCTGGGGTTAGGGGTTGCATAGGGTAGGTAGTGTTTTCTGGCTTTGCATTTCTGCACACCCTCACATACAACACACATACACACATACCAGCCAATCCTAAATCAGAATCCCTGGGGTGGGTATGAGACCTCAGCATGCATATTGTAAGAAAACTCCATAGGTGTAAATCTGATGAACAAACAGCCAGGACCTAGATTCGCCCATAAACCATTGCTCTTGACTGCATGGGGAAAATCCTGCTTTAGATGAGAGATCAGTATGATTTCAGTGTTTCTAAAAGTTAAACATGAATATAAATTATGAGTTTATGTGTCTAAGTGGAGGTATGAATGTTGTAACATTGTTAACAAGAATACTAATAAGATCAGGCTGAAGAGTCAGTCCTAATGGACTGCATTTTGCTAAGTGCAGATTTAGTCCAAGACAAAAGTAAGAGCTTTGTTCGTCATAAACCATACTTCCCAGGAATCTTGGGACTTCCTTTAAAAATGAAGGCAGCCAGTAATGGAGCCAGCTGATTGTAATCTGTAGATTGGGTGACCTATGTCTGGTTCTCTCCCTTTCAAAAAGCGGGAGGTTAATGTTTTTTAAAAAGACTTTTGAAATGATAGGTTTTTTTTATTAACAGTTCTAGGGGGAAGTGTTCATTATGATGGATTTTCCAAAGATGAGTATCTTTATTTCATTTTTTGTTTATAGTTTAGGTTTCTTCTGCCAACATTCTTATCTTAAAAGAAGGTTATGTGCACTTCTGCATGTTCGAGAGAGATTTTTGGCAGGAGGACCCTGTTGGCGGTAATAATTTTGCTGGCCACTTTTAGAAATGCTTCATTGCTTCAACACCCTGGCCTTCAAAGGCTACCATCTTTACCTGTAACTGGGCTGTATACTTTCCCTTTTCTGCTCTTTTGTGTTACAGATGTGACTCGGCACATCTGTAAAATGGACAAAAAGTATGTTAATGCAGAAAGACAGTAGACACAGGAAGGAAGAACCAATAATTGAGGGTTCTCTTATTTGTTTGTAACAAATACCTAGGCAGAGCCACTTATTGGAAGCTTGAGAAACAAAGTAGAGAGGAAGGGTAAAAAATCTCTTCCTGGAACACATGAAACACCTAGTTATGAAACATGTTGTCTGCAATATTTGAATCCCAAAGCACTTCTGAACATTACTTAAAGTGAGTAAAACTTGTACTTTATTTTTTTTAAAGGTTTTGTTGTTGTATGATAGGAACACTCAGCTGCTAATCTTTCTGACCAGCACATGTAGTAAAGACATGGCAGGAGAAGCCCCCAGTTCACTATATGTGGGTATCTGTGAACAGCCTTGGGCTACTTCCTGTGGTTGAGCTACTTGAAAACAAGCACACTGCCTCTGAAATATCAGGCAGCTCGGCCACAGAAACGCCTGAACACTTAGTGACCATCCTGCTGGCCTTGAACTTGTGAAAAAGGAAAGCATTGAAGAGAGGGTGGCCATCTCAGAGCGTATACGATTTTGATGCAGAGACATGGGGAACTTGTACCATCACAAAGTTAAGACAGTCAGTATTCATTTTATCTGTTAACAGAGGCAGCATTTGGATAGGCCCAGGTTTGAAACCCAGCCCCTTGGGCAAGTTACTTAACCTCTTTCTGCCTCAGTTTCCCCATATGCAAAATAGAGATGGTAATTAAGAGCGTCTTTGTAAACTGTTGGTGAGTGCCTGGCTTGTAGTAAGTGCTAAGTATAAACTGTTGCTGCTGCCATTACTATTACTATTATTAGTGTTACTATAACTCTTATTAACTCTTCCCTGCTCTGGGATCATGTTTAATTTGTAAAACTTCCACACTCCTTATTTTTCCTTCTTAATTTACTTACCTTTCTGCATTTTCTACCACTGTCTTAATAACCCACCCACCCAGGCATAAAAGAGAGAAAAAGAAAAAAATTTTCAGACTTGTCATGTTTTATTAAGTATGTCAAACATATGCAAAAATAGAGAGGATATGTTTATAGGAAGTNTAACCCACCCACCCAGGCATAAAAGAGAGAAAAAGAAAAAAATTTTCAGATTTGTCATGTTTTATTAAGTATGTCAAACATATGCAAAAATAGAGAGGACATGTTTATAGGAAGTGCTATTTTTTTTTTTTTAAATATATCTTTATTGATTTCAGAGAGAGGAAAGGAGAGGGGGAGAGAGAGAGAGAAACATCAATGATGAGAGAGTCATTGATGGAGCCCGCAACCCGGGCATGTGCCCTGACCGGGAATCGAACCCCAATCGCCTGGATCCCAGGTCGACGCTCAACCGCTGAGCCACGCCCGGCCGTGCGGAAGTGCTATTTTTAAAGGTTAAAAAAAGTTAAGTGTCTTTTGAAGCGTAGAAAGTAGAAATTACAAGTCTATTGCCTTGACATAACTTTTTAAATATTCTCTGTATACAGTACATACTGAACATAGTTGTAATTCTAGAGGACATACCATTCTATGGATTTTCACCACCCAGCATTAAAGCATAGGCATTTTTCTCTGTCCCTTAGCCTTGACAGTTTTCAGTGGTTTTATACCATAGATAATTATTGGTTTGTTGTATATGTTGCCTCCTTTAAAAAATATTATAAGTAAGATGGCAACGAAAATCCTACTGCAGATGATTGGGGATTATCTTGGGAAGATTTTTTTTTTTCCTTTTTTGATTAGGAATCTCTGCATTTGTTTCCTGGTACATGGGAATCTTACTGTAATGTGGTTCTTTGGAAAGTTAGCTTTATGAAGGTGAAATAGCCCCAGTCCATGTAATAATACCAAGTCTGTATCTTGGGGTTAAGGTAAACCCACACTGTGTGTCAGTATCTTTGCATGAGAACAGCACTGTGCGGGCTGTCATGGGACTCTCCAAACATCACTTTCTAGACGTGAGCTGTCCAAAACAGGATCTACTGGCCACTTGTAGTTAAATTAATGAGAATTAAGTAAAATGAAAGGTCCAGTTCCTCCCAGTCACACTAGTCATATTTCATGTGTTCAGTAGCCACATGCGGCTAGTGGCTCACATATTGGACGGGGCAGATACAGAACATTATCATCACTCAGAAAGTTCTGTTGAATAGCGCAGCCCTAGCTTATCCTCTGCTCAGTTCCTTAATCTTACAGTGACAAGGAAGAGCCACCTCCTATTTGTAGGTTTTTCTAGCAGAGGTTGGCAAACTTTTGCTGCCTGTTTTTTAATATAAAGTGTTATTGGAACACAGCTACACCTGTTTGTTTACCTATTGTCTATGGCTACTTTTGTGCAGCAACAGTCGAGCTGAGTGTTGAGTAGTTATGACAGACCTAAGGTGGCCCACAAGCCTATAGTATTCGCTCTCCCTTTACAAAAAGTTAATCCCTTTATCTAGACCGGGGTTTCTCAACCTCGGCACTATTGTCTTTTTGTTCCATATAATGATTTGTTGTGATGGGCTGTCCTGTGCATTGTAGGATGTTTAGCAGCATTCCTGGCCTCTGTACTAGATACTAATAGCACCACTGTCCCCCTTCCACACCCAGTTGTGACAACCAAAAATTTCTCCACACATTGCCAGACATCCTCTGGGGAGCAAAATCACCCCCAGCTGTGAGAACCACTAATCTAAAGTGATGTGGCTTGACAAAACATCCATTTATAGTACTTTAAAAAAAAAAATCTTTTAAAAATCCATTTAAAGAGCTGAGTAAATTAAAAGGAGTATTTATGCTACATAGCATTATCTCCAGAAACAGAAATATTTCCTTTAACGTGATAAAGGAACTAGAGTGGGGCAGAGAAATGGAAGCACTGAGGTTCCACAGTTCACTGCTAACTGGGGAACAAATAGGATGGAAATTACACAGTCTATGAAGTTCATGGGGACATGTGGTTTATTTTCCAGGTTTTCAGAGTCTACTTGAAACACGATATGACTGCAGGGTTTTTGTTAACTGAGTGTATAAATGTCATGTGTGTATACCCAGCACCTTGTACTGAATCTGGCAAGAAAGGAGTTAATGTTTATTGATTGTTGATAAATGCAATAAATTAGTACTTACCTGTCTTATTTATGATTTTAAGTTGTCCATATAAGTTCTTACCCTAATAACTGATTATATTTACCGTCATTAGAAGTTATGAGAATTGAATTAAATGTCAAGACCTATAAAATTGTCTTCAGTTCTTTTAAGATCTGGTGCTTGAGTACTTTTCAGAGTGAGGATTTTCAGAGCTGAGGAAGAGGCCATGTTAAGAGATTAACTGCTCATTGTGTAAGAAAGTAGAGCATTGGGGCACAAGTTTTAATTGATAAACGATGTATATAATATTTCTAAATTCTCGGTTTAGAAAATGGGGTGAATTAGAATTGGGAAAATTGCCTTTCAAAGTGAATCATCAGATACATGCCTTTATCTGGTTCTTCAAATTAAAATTAAATTTAAAAACTTTAAGTTGGTAGTGAAAGGAATATATGGTGTAGATCACATGCAGTGGACCAGTTCTGTGCAGCTAAGGATCGGGGAGGTGAGTGGTTCCGACGCCGGGTCCCGGGGAGCTTGAGGCGAGCCCGTGGCCTGTGCTCGATGCGGCTCTCTGTGCTGTGTTGCAGATCTCACCAACATATTCGAGTCCTTCCTGCCCCAGTTGTTGGCCTACCCCAACCCCATAGATCCTCTCAACGGCGACGCTGCAGCCATGTACCTCCACCGGCCAGAGGAGTACAAGCAGAAAATTAAAGGTAAGGAGGCAGATCGTTTAACCTGGAGACAGAACTTGAGTCTGGAGCTTTGATCATTGATCACCCTTCTTAGTTACTAATAAGAATCTTTGCCTTTATTTGCTTCCTTTTGTCTTGTAAAATTAGAAAATTGGAGTTGAGAATAAGTTAATTGAAAGGGGTAATCTCACATTTGTTTATAGACAGTTAACATCCTGGCCCTTCAGCTACCTTTGGGAGCTGGGAAAATAGTTGCCAAATCCATCATTAGACTTTTCTTTTTTTAATCCTCACTTGAGGATATTTTTTCCATTGTTTTTCAGAGAGAGCGCAAGGAAAGGGGGGGTGGAGAGAAACATCGATGTGAGAGAGACACATCAATTGATTGCCTCCTGCACGCGCCCAGACTGGGGCCTGGAATTGAACCTGCAACTGAAGCAGGTCCGTGCCCTTGGCCAGCATTGAACCTGGAACCCTTCAGCCCACGGGCCGACACTCTTAACAACTGAGCAAAACTGACTAGGGCCATCATTAGACTTTTAAAAAATTATATTTTACCTATTGAATTAAAAATACCCAGCTAAGCCCTAGAAGGTGAGTCAGTGGTTAGAGCGCCAGCCCTTGCACTGAAGGGTCCCAGGCTTGATTCCTGGTCAAGGGCATGTACCTGGGTTGCATGTTTGATCCAGGCTGGTCAGGGCACGTGCAGGAGGCAGCCAGTTGATGTGTCTCCCTCACACCCGTATTTCTCTCTCTCTCTCTCCCTGCCTGCCTTCTACTCTCTCTAAAAATCAATGGAAAAAAATATCCTCTGGTGAGGATTAACAAAATAAATAAATAAATACCCAGCTGGCTTCTTTTCTGCGTCCCATACTAATTTACTTTCATTTTGGGATATTTTCATGTAGGCATATTTCTCCCCTACTATAGATACCTGGCCCCAGTACCCTGGTACTATGGGATTTTTCTATTAAAACGTGAAATGTACTGTTAACGTTAGAAATGTATTAGTGATGACAGCACTAGTTTCCTCATTCCTTAGGATTTAGAATCCTATTTTCCCATTCTCAAACAGTTTACATGGGACATGAATTTCACAAAAGGGAAATTAGGATTGCAAAAGAACATTGAAAGCATCACATGGGTTTACTGGTGGTGTCCTCTTTACCTGTGTATGCTTGAGAACTTTCATAAGGAAAAGTCTAGAAACATAAAGTTCCACCAAAAAGGAAAAGAATTCATAGGCCTGTTTTTCTTAACAAATGGACAGCATCGGTATGTACCCAGTTTTTAGCACAACTTGCCCATCTGCCTAGCAGTTCAGAACATTATCTTCTGCAGAGTATGTGCCCCTCTGAGGTACATTTGTAAGAGATGGCAGTAGAAATAACTCATGAGAGCTTGAATATATAGGTTTTACTCTGAACTGTGCAGGTATGAGACACAGGAGCATTTGGGGCTACTGGTGGAACATGGCTGGTCTTCTGTTTCTTATCTCCGCCGGTCTCTACAGGGTATTGTTCAGTACTTTAGTTGAGATAAAATAGAAATAAATCTACTCTAATTTACTTAGGTCTCAGGTGCTTTGCAAATTCTCTAATTTATGTGGCAGAATATCTACATAGTCAAACAAACGTGTATTTCAAGAAAAAGACAGTCGGTTTCAAGCAGATAAAATTCTATTACGAGTATTAAAAAATTGACAAAGGATTCACTTAACAGTGTCTGCAACCCACAGACACCTCAGTGCGGAACCTGCGTCTCTAGTCTTACGTTCCTTCTGCCGCAGCAGTGGAGCGCTCTTCCTGTTTTAGTACGCATCTGCTACAGCACCCGTTGCAAAAGGAACCTAGCCCACATTTTTTCATCTTAGAATGGCTAGCGCTAGCTTAGGGAGCTCTAGCTTTCTGAAATGTTAATGTTGGCTATCATTTTGTCTTCCCTAGTAATCTGAGAAAATCATGGCAGTCAGAGCCGAGCTCAGCCCGGCTTCCTGCTGTACCTTTACATAAGGCCATCATCTTCCCTTGTTCCTCCCAGAGCAAATAAGAGGGCCCGTCGTCTTTCTCAGGCTGCCCCACCAACCCGGGGTCTCCCTCTCCCACCCCTCCCCTCCCTCCGGGTTCCTCCTCCTCCCCTAGACTGTCAGAGGTAGCCCGGTTCAGAAGTCTCTGTCTGCTCCTATGGATTCCTTTAGGAGTCTTGCTATTTATTTCATTTTCAAACTTCTTGCTTCCTTGCTTTAAACTCCTGAGGTCTAGTTTGTTTTCCCTCCTATACTGAAGCTGTGATCTCATTTCTTCCTAATCTTTTGGACCCTTCTGAAGACCTGTTTTCATGGACTTCTCTGCAGCTTTGCTCTTTTACCTCTTACCTGTCTGAAAAAGGGTCTCATTCCATTCCCAAACATGGTCATTCTCTTTAAGATTCCGTCCTTCAGCCCCCTCCGGACACCCCCTGGGAAGCCTGTTCAATCTCACAACTTTAGATGATTTCAGGTAGGTGATTTCCAAATACGTGTCTAGGTGTGACCTCTCTCCTAAGCTGCTCAGTGGACATTTCCACGCCTAACATCACACACAGGTCAGTGTGTGCATGCACCCTTCCTTACCATGAAATCATCAGCATTCCTATTGAGTTGATGCTGTTTTATTATCTTGTAAACATTGGATTGCTAGTAGAACAGGACATCATTGGCGCTGTCTGAAGATGTGTCATTTCCCTGCTCAGCCTTCACTGAGTGGCATCTTAGCTTGCCATTCCAGGCCCTCTACCACTGCGTGTCGTCTACACCTTTGCCTTTGCTCCTCTAAATGCATCAATATATGACAGTAAAATTGAGTTTCAGATACCCGGCTATTCTCTTCCTTAGGGAAAGTTTCAACACTACAGAAAAACAGGTAATAACTGTATGTCCATCACCCAACTCTAGATGAACCTGTACTTTTGCCTTATTTGCTTCAAAATTTTTTAAAGAAAGAAAATAAATGTAGTTCTCTTTTAAGGTTGTGTTTGAACATCCCAACCACTTCCTTCTCCCTGGAGTGGCACCTCTCATGCTGCAGTGACAGAAACCCTTCAAGGGGTCAGTGCAGATGTGACTCCTTCCTGGCTGTCCAGCTGGAGCCCCTTCCTCGCTGCTTCCCTCTGATGGCACTTGGCAGCTAACTGCCTTTTCTCTTCATCTGTTTCTCCTGCTCATTAGTGACCTTGCTCTTCGGTTTTCTCTCTCCTGAAAGGCCTTATCCTAGTAAGCACTTAATACGTATGTTTCCTTGAATATACTTAAGAAAGCTGACAGTATCAAATTACACTGTGAAAGTGCAGCGGCTTATTTCTGCAAAGGAAGAAACAAAGTAGCCAACCTATTACAGAGTAAAAATAAAATTTCTCAGGCTTTAATAAACATTTCTCTCACTCTAAAAGGTAAACTAAGGTCAGTTTCTACCTAGTTAGGGGCTTTTTGTTTTCCCAACTCATTATCTCAGCGTAAAATTGTGTTACTGTGAATTTGTAGGACTCTAAGTGAGAAATCTACAAACTTTTTTTGTAAAGGGCCAGATTTGGCCACATATGGTCTCTGTCACATATTCTTTTTCTTTTTTTAAACAACCCTTTAAAAATATTTTAAAGAAAATTCTTATCTAGGTTCCTGCACAGTTACTCAGATTTGGCAGGCCCATTTGGCCGTTTACCTTAGCTTCCTCTTTTATTTAGTGCCTGTAATTCCATGGGAAGAAAAACAAAGCTTAAGGGTATGAGGATATGTTTGTGCTTTTTTCCTGCTGGCATTCTAAATAGGATTCTAAATGTCTCGTCTCTTCATATTGTGTATAGGCTATTTACTTGAGAACAGTATGCACTTAGAGACTTCAGGAACAAGTTTGTTTATTCAGCAGTTCTTAAATGTTTTTTCAGCCTAGATTATAGCAGCATAAATCTTCAGGTAAATAATACATGGTAAAGTCACTCAAGGTAGCTGTGTCTCCAGACAGCAGCTCATTCCTGAGCAGACTAAGAGACTGTTTTTACCAGCTGCCTTAGAAACCTGACAGGCAGGATCTGTTTAAACTAAAATCTATTCCTAAAATAATAGATTTGGCTGACTATAATTATATAACTGCAAATCTAAAAATGATGGGGAATTTCCTTATAAGTTACTATGGAATCATAAGTAGTCCAGTGCTATCTGGGAGGTGAATATTTTTATTATTAATATAGAAAATTAAAAGAAAATGCAGGGATCACATTCTTCCAAATCATCAAGTTTGGAGGAGGGCAGCTATACTGGTCAGCCATCAAGGAAAGTTAGAGGGCTGGAGGACTGGGGCCCGATTCACACTGGCCATCGTCCTGGCTGTCTGCCAACCTTCCTGTGCCTTGCAGCCGGGGCCCAAGGGTGGTTGGCTGCCTTGTATACATCCATCCATCTGAGGGTGTTCATCTGCCTGGTAGGTATTCTCCCAGCTGGGAGGTGATGGCCCGAGGAGCTTAGGATGGTGATCCAGTGTATTTATTCCCCTACAAGTCCCATGTCCTGCTTTGCCTCTTACTAATGAGGCAAAATGCATAAAACTCCAAAGTCTTCCCCTTAGCTTTTGTGACTCCAACTGTCATCTTTGTTACCGCCGGCATGTAAGGAGAGCTGGAGCTTCCCTGGGGCTTGCCAACTTGGGGGTCGCCGAAGCACATGTCTGCCTGCTCACTGCCCTTGTGTTTTCTTTATCCCTGTCTCCTGTGCAGAGTACATCCAGAAATATGCAACGGAGGAGGCACTGAAAGAGCAGGAAGAGGGCACCGGTGACAGCTCGTCGGAGAGTTCTATGTCTGACTTTTCGGAAGATGAGGCCCAGGATATGGAGTTGTAGTAGAAAAAGCACCTGCTTTTCAGAAAGACTATTATTTCCTAACCATGAGAAGCAGACTATAATATTCATATTTAAACAAAGCAATTTTTTTTATTACTAAACAAGGTTTTTATGAATAATAGCATTGATATATATATATTATATATCACCCTTTAGATCTTGATTTCTTGGTCATTTCTCAACCTGAGGTGCATAGCATATTCCCACATTCCATTTTGGTAGCAATATGCGGTCCGAATGCATGCATTCATAAGTCCATTTGGCCAAGTCAGCCTGTGTGCTACTGAACTGTCAAAAGAAATAGCCGCTCTGATAGATAGACATGAGTAAAAATAACAGGAAAAAGTTGCTTCTTTTATTGATGGTTCCAAAGAAACAAACCAAACCAACCAGCTCTTGGACATGAAGATAGAATAGTGCTTTTTCAAAATGGAAAGGAAAAAATTGGGAAGGAAAAGGCCTGCTGTGGGAGCATATAGAGCCAGCAATGTCAGAGTCAGAGCTGCTCCTTCCTGTGATTCCTACCTAGGTGGCCTCATTTCTGTGGAGTAACAGTGTAAGCAGGGAGCTAATTGGAGTATTGAAACTTTAAACAATTTTTGCTTGGATTTTAAGTACATTTTTATATGTAGATTCCTGCCCTTCTGGCTACTCAGCCCTGCAGCCACGAGTGTATTGNTAGATTATAGCAGCATAAATCTTCAGGTAAATAATACATGGTAAAGTCACTCAAGGTAGCTGTGTCTCCAGACAGCAGCTCATTCCTGAGCAGACTAAGAGACTGTTTTTACCAGCTGCCTTAGAAACCTGACAGGCAGGATCTGTTTAAACTAAAATCTATTCCTAAAATAATAGATTTGGCTGACTATAATTATATAACTGCAAATCTAAAAATGATGGGGAATTTCCTTATAAGTTACTATGGAATCATAAGTAGTCCAGTGCTATCTGGGAGGTGAATATTTTTATTATTAATATAGAAAATTAAAAGAAAATGCAGGGATCACATTCTTCCAAATCATCAAGTTTGGAGGAGGGCAGCTATACTGGTCAGCCATCAAGGAAAGTTAGAGGGCTGGAGGACTGGGGCCCGATTCACACTGGCCATCGTCCTGGCTGTCTGCCAACCTTCCTGTGCCTTGCAGCCGGGGCCCAAGGGTGGTTGGCTGCCTTGTATACATCCATCCATCTGAGGGTGTTCATCTGCCTGGTAGGTATTCTCCCAGCTGGGAGGTGATGGCCCGAGGAGCTTAGGATGGTGATCCAGTGTATTTATTCCCCTACAAGTCCCATGTCCTGCTTTGCCTCTTACTAATGAGGCAAAATGCATAAAACTCCAAAGTCTTCCCCTTAGCTTTTGTGACTCCAACTGTCATCTTTGTTACCGCCGGCATGTAAGGAGAGCTGGAGCTTCCCTGGGGCTTGCCAACTTGGGGGTCGCCGAAGCACATGTCTGCCTGCTCACTGCCCTTGTGTTTTCTTTATCCCTGTCTCCTGTGCAGAGTACATCCAGAAATATGCAACGGAGGAGGCACTGAAAGAGCAGGAAGAGGGCACCGGTGACAGCTCGTCGGAGAGTTCTATGTCTGACTTTTCGGAAGATGAGGCCCAGGATATGGAGTTGTAGTAGAAAAAGCACCTGCTTTTCAGAAAGACTATTATTTCCTAACCATGAGAAGCAGACTATAATATTCATATTTAAACAAAGCAATTTTTTTTATTACTAAACAAGGTTTTTATGAATAATAGCATTGATATATATATATTATATATCACCCTTTAGATCTTGATTTCTTGGTCATTTCTCAACCTGAGGTGCATAGCATATTCCCACATTCCATTTTGGTAGCAATATGCGGTCCGAATGCATGCATTCATAAGTCCATTTGGCCAAGTCAGCCTGTGTGCTACTGAACTGTCAAAAGAAATAGCCGCTCTGATAGATAGACATGAGTAAAAATAACAGGAAAAAGTTGCTTCTTTTATTGATGGTTCCAAAGAAACAAACCAAACCAACCAGCTCTTGGACATGAAGATAGAATAGTGCTTTTTCAAAATGGAAAGGAAAAAATTGGGAAGGAAAAGGCCTGCTGTGGGAGCGTATAGAGCCAGCAATGTCAGAGTCAGAGCTGCTCCTTCCTGTGATTCCTACCTAGGTGGCCTCATTTCTGTGGAGTAACAGTGTAAGCAGGGAGCTAATTGGAGTATTGAAACTTTAAACAATTTTTGCTTGGATTTTAAGTACATTTTTATATGTAGATTCCTGCCCTTCTGGCTACTCAGCCCTGCAGCCACGAGTGTATTGCTTTGGAGAACCTTTGGAAAGTGTTTTCTAAACCTGATGCTTTCTCATGGGGTAGAGCTTGTAATCCAGACTTTTTTTTGAGAGGACAGGACAGGAAGAGAAAAGTGACTGGGAAGATGTTTTCTCTCATCCAGCACATGCAGAGTCACAACCTCATCCTATTGTTGGCCACTTTGAGATGCTACCCTGGACTAAGCTTTAAATTTGCAGGTGGTTGTGGGTTATTTTTGTTTTGGGGGTTTGGGTTTTTGGTGTGTGTGTGAACTGTGCTTAGACAGGTTACAAATTTAATCTTCACCTGCCAAGAGATGGCCTCCTCCTTGGACAGCCACTCAGTGGACCATTAGACTCGGGAAGAAGACCCTTCCGGTGGCTGTGACTCCTGGGTACTTGCCTTCACGTTTTGGTTTTGGTTTGGGTTTGGGTTTTGGTTTTGGTTTTGGTTTTCTTTCTGCTGCTGCTCTTGGCAGCAGCCTGGTCATCATCTGCTTGTGGGAGTGGGAAATGGATATTTTAGACCCAACACACATTCTAAATTTCAAATGAGTAATAGTTGGAACAAATAAAGGTTCTTGTACCCAAAGTGACTCTACATGAGGAAAACAAACACAGCTTTTTTCAGAGTGTGACAGAATAGAGAAAGGATTCAGAAATGTGATGTAGTAAAACAGGTTTTGAAGGAAGACCGTCTTCTCTCCTGCATGTGTTAAGAGGAAATCAGACAGTTAAAAATGCCTGCTAATGAATGTTTACTCAGCTAACCATATGTCCAGGTTGCTAGCAGTTCCTTTCAAATCTGGGTGTTGCCTGCTGAATTTGGAGAACTCTAGACAGCACCTCTGAAATCTTTTTGTGTCGCAACCAATAGGACAAGAGCAGAATTGGCCAATCCTAAAACCTTCTAAAGACAATTTTTTAATGTCCCACTGGGATAATTTAATTTTTCTTTCTGATGTGTGTTTTTAGTTTAGAAGTGCTATATTCCACAAGATTTGAGTCAATGAGGTTGGAAGATATCTTTTTTTATTCAAAAAGCACAATCAATCTTTTCTTTGAAAATCTATATAAAGTACAACTTGCTTTTAGCATGATTATTTTCGTAAATAAAAAAAGACAAAGAATTTACTTATTTTATGTTAATTACGGGCATGAAGCAAAAGGTTTTCTTTAAAAAAAAATTAAAAGTGCAGTTATGTAGGGCTGTGGTTAGTTAACCGTACTGAGTTATCTATCTAGCATTTGTGGCTTGTTGGAAGGGTAGTATTAACTATTTAACATGTAATGGTGTACTTTAACTCTTATCTAGCACGTTGTCTTCTCATTACTTTGGGGGAGGGAGGGTCTCTGCTGGCACTGTCTAACTTGCTTACCTGCTGAATTAGCAGTTTGCTTGTGCTATAACCGTTATTGTAGGTGCGACTTAGGGTAGGCTTAAAGTGCTGGGTGGTGATTTGAGTTCAAACAATAAAAAATTGTATTTTTTCAATATTGTATAAACAATAGTGTTCTAATTACCTTTCCAAAAAAAAAAAATAATGTCCAGATAATTGTTTTAAATCTTGTCCAAAAAACTAGCAGAACCAAGTTTGGGGAAGGTATGTGAGCAGTGCCACAGCTCTACTCCTCGACTAAATCCATGTTTTTCTAACAAAAAGACACCAGCTTGCCTGCCTGCGATCGAGAGCTCCGGCACTAGAAATCTGGTGGTGTAGAATTCCCAAAGGAAGATTTGGGGGGGGAGGTTGCAGGGGTTAAGCAGATCTGAGTGTGGCTAGTGTGTGTGTGTGTTCGCGCGTGCGTGTGCCTGTTGTCTCCATGTCTGTCCTTGTGTATCCATCCAAGTCTGTGTGATGAAGGTGTAATTAGGGCTTCTCTCTTAGCACTGGAAGCTTCTAGAATTGCTACTCAAATCGCTCTGTACTCTTTCTGTGCAAGTCTGTCTCATCGGAGCACTAACCTTGGTCCCATGCATGTTTTTGGCTCTGTGGGGCTCTTTACCTCTCCACTGCGAAATTGGCTTGATAAGTTGAACAGAATCCCTTCTAATGCTAACCTTTTGTCCCTACCCTGTACCTGGAAGAGGTAGGAGCAGGAGACCATACTTACAGGTGCAGAGGGAGCTGGAAGAGGCCTGGCTGTGAATCTGAGGACTCGCCCCCAATAATAGATGGTAAAGTAAGACTGAGTAAGGGGTGTTTCAACACCAACCGCTTTTCTAAGATGGTCCTGTCACAACGCTCAGAAACGCCTGGAGCCCCTCAAAAGGGCTGAACGTCATTGACTTAAAGGTGGTGGTGGTGGGTCAGAGTTGCTTCTGGCAGTTTCCCTTATTAGTTTTTGAAATCCTACCTTGTGGTTTACCAGCACAGGCCATTCTTTGCCCCTGTTCAAATGACTGAGCTCATGCTCTCGCCAAACACCAACAAACAAGATGACTGCGGCATTTAATCCGCTGCTCTCTGCCAGCCCCAGCCCCAGGGCCTTGTGGGTTGCGTTTATTAGTAGCCAACCTAGGCAGTGGCATTTTTGCTCTTTTAGTCTTCAGTCTCATTGCCCTCCTTGACTTGACTGTGCAGTTTCAACCAGCATTTTATACTAGTGAGAGAATTATCAGAAGTTGCCATGTATATCTCCTGTACCTAATATTTTTCTTCCACTTCAAAAGCTGTTCTAATTGCCAAGCGGCTGATCTAAGCTCCTGGAGGGTGTCTCCCCTTCAAGGAATTTTTTCCCCTCAAAAATCTCCCTGAAGCCCTATTTGACCTTGGCCTATAACACTTGCTTTTTATTAAGCCTCCAATTGGGACGGCTGAGAATCATGAAAAAAAGATCTTCCACTAGCTTCCATCCGTCAAGTTTCTGGGAACTGATGTTTGATTTTAAATGGCATGTGACCCTTCTGTATTCTAGGAACTCAATTAGAAAAGTGAAAGCCATTAACAAAAGTTAGTTTTATTTCATCAGCTTCCTAACTGGGTTCACAGCCTTGTTGACTG